ATATGGGAATATCATTTTCAGGTACAGGTAGCATGCCACCTCCAAGGACGTAGCTTGGGAGGCTAGAGGCGGACACACTTTTGTTGCCTTATTTTGATGTATTACATGTAAATTCAAGCCAAGAGCTTAATGTGTAAATGAGTTAGTACTCTTTTGTTGTAACCAAGTGTTAACTTGGAAAGCTGTAAGCCCGTAGGGCATTTGCTTTTTTTAATTAACATGTAATAATTTTGTAAAGAACTACTCTGATGAATAGAAGAATGTTTATCTTTATTACCAATACATGTCTCTATTGATGGGTTTAATGTATTATTTTGAGGGCGTTACAGTTTGTAGTACAAATCGATTGGAGCATTATTGTAGTACACATTAATGAAGTCTAAATTTAGCACCTCTATCTCACATCACTTTTATCGAACAGTTGGTGGGCAAGATTGCTCCTATTTCAGATTGACTCCACTGTTTTTCTCTCTCTGAATATGGAAGGTGATGTAATTTTGTTTTTGTAGTACACAGATACACATATATATTTATGTATATATATAGAGAGAGAGGGGGGAAAAAAACAAAAACAAAAAAAAACATACACGAGACGGAGTATCAATGGAGCAGAGTTCTTCTCAACGATGAAGCCTCTGGATCCGGTGGTGGTAGTGGATCTGTGAAGATCAGCGGAGAAGGAGGAGGCGGTGGCGTGAAAACATCGACGGTGCTCAGATCTATGAAGATCGGCGGCGACGAAAGGTGAACATAAGAGGAGAAGAGAGAGCGAGAGGGCAGCGACGGAGGTGGTAGCGGCGACAGTGGTGGTCGCAGTAGTCACGATGTCGATGGCGGAGGAGGAGGAGGTGCCCTAGTTGCCGGTGAACGCAAAAAGGAGCGGCGGCGGGGTGGTGACGCAACGGGACTCCTCAACCCTTTATCTTCTCTTCTCTCTCTCTTTCTGCCGTCTGAAATGAAGAGAGAACCCTAATAATTTATTTTCCTCACTTTCTTTACTTATTTTCCCGACTAAAACATAGTTTCGTCGCCAATTAATTAAGGAAGCGTCCAAAAATTCAAAATCCTGCCTCCACAATTTTAATTACAATTGCAAACTAAAAACTTTAGTCGGGAAAAGTCAATTAAAGGTGACTAAATTTTTTTTGGTAGCTAAATATTTCTGACTAAAAAATTTTAGTCACCGAAAATAAATATTTACCGACCAAATATTTGGTCGCCAAAGAAAAAAGTAAAAACTTGAGTTTATTGCCAACTAAATGTGTTTTGGTCACAAAAAATATATATTTGCCGACCAAATGAGGAAGTCACCAAAGATTAAAAATAAAATTTTACTAGATATTTGGCAACTAAATTCCTTTTAGTCGGCAAAAGTTAATATATGACGACTAAAATTTATGTAGTCGCTGAAAATAAATATTTGCCGACCAAACTTTTGGTCGCCAAAAATAGAAAGTAAATTTTTATTTTTCGTTCGGCAACTTAATAAATTTAGTAGTCAAAACTAACTATACAACGACTAAAATATTTATTTAGTCGTTGAAAATAAATATTTTCCAATCAAACTTTTGGCCGCCAAAAATAAAAAGTAAATTTTTGTTTTTCATTTGGCTACTAAATAATTTTAGTAGCCAAAAGTAACTATACAACAACTAAAGTTTTGTTTTGTCGCCGATTGTTGCATATTTAGTGACTAAAAATTGTTGGCGACCAAAAATTTTGTCGCCAAATATAAAAAATAATTTTTTATTTTACATTTGGCGACTTAATGGTTTTAGTAGCCAAAACTCAATATACAGCGACTAAAATATTTTTTTGTCGCCAATTCTGATATTTTTAGTGACTAAATTTTTTTTTAGTCGCCGATAATCAATATACCCCAACTAAAAAAAATTAGTAGCTAAATATTGAACTTTTGCAGACTAAAAAAAAATTTAGTTGCCAATTTTGGTCGCCAAAGATGCATTTTGTTGTAGTGTTCTTATTAAGTATAAATTATTATTTGTAATATACTAATATTTTTATTTTTCAACTTACAAAATTTACTTGCCTCTTGTCTAGCGCCCATCCCCTTCCGTTACTTCCCGATTTGCCTCGCTCTCGATATGATACGGGACAGAGGCAAATTTCTATAAACCCACCCAAAATCCAACTTGTGACGATCTCTATCAATGGTAATGATTGTGTAGTGGTTGTAGGGGTGGTAATGACACTAAAATTAACATAATAAGCCACACAAAAATTAATGAATGAGTAACTAGAAAGTTAACAGAATTAATATAATTTTTTTATATTATGAATTTATAATTTACACTAAAAATTGAAAATTTCCAAAAAAAAAGAAAGAAAAGAAAACGCCCTCAGGTTCAAGCCTAAAGCCCAATATCAGGCCCTTGGTCCTTGAATATTTGGGCTTAGGGAAGGGCTTAGCAATTTGGAAATGGGTAGGCCAAGCTGGCCCAATTTTTGAAGGAGCCCAATTTGCAGTCAAGAATTTTATTACTATCATTTTATCCTCATATATAATTATCATTCATTTTGTTGTAAATGATAATTTTAAAGGTAAAAAATCATAACTAGCGGCTGAGCAAACGCGATGCGTGTGCAAACTCTTTTAAAATTATAATTATGATTTTGATATTATTTTTTCTAATAATATAAATATAAATCATATGAATAATTATGTACAATGTAACATTTGATATTAACATATTTGATAAATAAAATACACGTACATTAAAAGATGTACAAATCTTTAAAAAAAATACAATATTTACTAATCTTAACTAAACAAAATTTACAACAAAAAATCATATAAAATCTTAATTTGGTAACATGAGGCTGAAGATCTTGCAATTGCTCCAAAAAGTATATAAGATATATGGAAAAATTAGTTTGCTAATAATGTACATTAATTAAATTACAATTTTACGTTCTTAAAGTGAGCCAAAATTGTTCACATGCGTACTTTAACTAATAGTGTACAATAATAACTTTGGTTTTCTAATTGGCTTATTATGTATAAAGACACAAAATGTAAATATTGTGAAAATTTTATTATAAACGAAATTCAAAAATTCAAAACTTACATTTTGACATAGATCGTCATAGTCCAAATCAAACGTCACGTTCAACAATCTCTTCAAATTGTTTTGATGCAATTTTGGACATACATATATGTACAAGCACATACATAATCTTCTCGTATAATTCTATTGATCAAGTTTGCACTTCTCCAAATGTTGTCGCTTTATCACCTGAAAACACAAAACGTGAACTAACCGGCAGGGGTGTACCAGAAACCTCTCCGATGCCTAAGTGAGCAAAATAGACAATAGATACAAAAGCTCTATGTCTTTGAGAATCGAAATTGTGATACCTGTACACATGTCCTGTTATGAGCTTTTGTAGTTTCCACCTGGCATAATCCTAGTAGGACTCTAACTCCCCTTATAAGAGTCCTTTCAGGATTCGCACTCTCAAGGATACATGCATATCCTGATAACGCCCTACTCACTACTAACCAAGTGAGATAGTTCCAACCTCATACATCAGCTCAGTAGCACACTCGATCGAGTTACCATAGCCCTGCTCTGCACTGGACAGTACCAAGTGGTATTCAACCGAGACAAACTTCAATACGGTACACTACAAGTCATATCCCAGTCTGAGCTACTATTCATATTTAGTCTGGTTGTTCCAATCCTTGGATCTCAAGACCGAGCTATTCAAACCCCCAGCTTGGCCAGAAGCATGCCCACACAAACTGACGCTTTTACTCAGCTCGCCCCAAATACCTTAACCAAATGGACCTAGCTTGGCCCAATTTACGCACATAAACTACCCTCTCAATATATGACAACATTAAACTACAAAAAATAAGATGGAATTGACAAAAAATGAAGTACGTAACTTTGTTATATATACAAACCTATAAGTAAATTACCTTGTAACAATGTTGCACATATTTATGCAACTAAAAAAAAAAATTATAATATTAAAATAATTGTAATTTTTCTTCAAGTGTATTTGTAAGTTTTGTTTTCTAATTTTTTTTAAGAACAATTCAAATAATGTTATGAGAAAGATCATGAAAAAAATATATATCTATTTTTAATTTTAATAACTTTTGGTGTCCTCCTTATCTATCTATTGTCTATTCTATTATTAAAAGGTAACACTTACTTTGGATTTCTTATTTGGGCTTTTTTTTTATTCTTAAATTTGTGTGTTTGTGTTTTTGAGAAAAACAAAACTATATAAATTTATAAATTTATTATCTATAAATTTATTTGCTTAATAAAATTTACAACTACATTTGTACATAATTTGTCAAGGTATCTTATTTTTTGTTTTTTAATTTTTATATTTCTTAGAGTATGAGTCCAAAAAATTTGAGATAAAGAATTGGAAAAAATAGGGAAGAATTGATTCATCACAATTGATATATCATAATAAATAAATAAAATAAAAAGAAATTGAGAAAGAAAAAAGTTTCAATCAAAAGAAATTAAGAGAAAGAATTGGACAAAACAATGAAGAATTGATTCATCACAAGTGATATATCATAATAAAAAAAGAAAATAAAATAAAAATAAAATTTGAGAGAGAAACTTTGGGCGAAAATAAAGCATACTCAACTCTATATTGGGGGAGAAAAAAAAAATCTACAATAATCTATATAATAAGGCATGAAGGTTTTTGAAAATGTATAAAATGTATGAGAGATACAATTGATTTTAACGGTCAAGATGAATCCTAAGTACATATACATTTAAATCAATGGTCTATATACATTTAGTTCCCGCCCGTTTGAGAAATACTAAAAAAAGAAAAATATTAGTAATACCAAGGTATTAGTTAGTCCCAAGGTATTAATAGTCCCAAGGCTATCTCTCAAAACAAACACCCCATATACTAATCCCAAGGTACTAGTAATCCTAATCCCCTTGCTATAACCGAAAACAAACGGGGCCTTAGTTCCCGCCCGTTTGAGAAATACTAAAAAAAGAAAAACGAAAAAATGAGCAGTGGGAGTCAAGTGTTCTGTAAATCCTTCTTGGTACCTTCACTCGCTTCGACTGAACTCATTCGATTCAAGTTTTTCAGAGCTCAAACTTCCTCATCCAACCCTTCTAGGGTTTTTCGAATGGCCACCGAGCCTCCTTCTTCATCCTCATCATCACCACCACACTCCGCTTCAGCTTCCTCTAATGGCGATTCATCCTCGGTCCCCGCTTCTTCTGCCATCGATTTTCTCTCTCTCTGTCACCGTCTCAAGGTATTTTTGTATATATGTATGATTCATTTGAGTGTTGATTGTTTTGGACTCGAATATCATTGCCTAAATTCGTGATTTTGTTTTTTGGGTTTGGGGGTTTTTTGGGGTTTGATCAGACGATGAAGAGAACGGGATGGGTGCGAAGGGATGTTGAGAATCCAGAGTCCATAGCCGATCATATGTATCGAATGGGGTTGATGGCTCTCATTGATTCTAACATTCCTAGAGTCGATCCAGACAAGTTAGGGTTTTTGTTACTTTTAGTTTTTTTGTGTTCCATCTGGGTTACTTGTTATTGTTGCATTTTCTAAAGATTTTAACATTTTTTTCTTTTTTTCTTTTTTTCCAAATGTCAGGCGTATAAAAATGGCAATTGTCCATGATATTGTAGAAGGTAATAGCTTGCATTTAAATTTTTATTTATCTATTAGGTTCTCATATGTATCCTTTGGCTGATAAAGTATGCTTGATAAAAGAAAAAGGGTTAATTACACTTTTATCTCCTTCACTATCACCATTTTTTTTAGTTTGTCCGTAAACTATAATGATTTGAGCTCATGTAGTCCAATTGAAGATGATTGTGAAAATTAGTAATGGTAAAATTCTAACCTCATGAGAAAAAAGTCATTTCTACATTTTAAACAATCTAAACCAAACCAAACATCCATCTTCTTACTTACATTATATTGGACAATCTACTCCCTGCAACCAAACAACCATCTTCTTCCCCACCCCCCTCCCCCACTATTTTTCTCTCTGAGTGAATTTCTCTGCACTTTCAACATTTTTTTACTTTAACAACCAATTAAATTAATGGTAAAATTCTGTTGTATGTGTATTTTTTAATTTTATTTATTTATTTATTTTTGTTCTAATTCTTAACCTTAGAACTTTCTTTTGTTCTAATTTATTTATTTAATTCCGATCGTACGAACTTTACTCTCTCGAATTGGATGTACTTACATTTTTTATATATTATTGCTGCGTGGTTTACTTTATGGATTACCTACTGGATCTGTTTGAATGATTTTGATCGATTTTGGTGTTTAACTGACTATCTTTGATTGAGTCCCGTATGAATAGGATTGCTTTAACGGTGGTCTATGATAAAAAATAAAAAAACAATTTTTTTTTTTTGATTGACTATTTTCCGTCTGTTGCAATTCGGGTTTGAACTATGTATAATATTTTTTTTTTGCCTCTGATTTGGAGATATTATCTGCTTAATTTTATGGTTTCTTTGTGTATGTGGACTATGTATGTATGTATTTAGTTCATTTGTGAGGATGTGGAGGATTGCAAGGCAAAAACTTGGAGCTGGAGGATTTCCTGTTCCGGTAGGTCTTTCAATCGTATGTTTTGATTTTGAAAAAGGAAGATTTTTTTGCATCTAATAGATAGTATTTGATTTCAAATTTTAGAACAATCCTTGCAGAGGATACAACAGCCTGCAGTATCCGCGTTGAGATGTTATTCATCTGCTACCAAAAAGGTAGTTGTGGATTATGTTCATTGTGTTGTTGTTCAATTTTTTTGTTTTTCTTTGATACTTATTTGGTTGTTTTGATATGTCAGAATTAATTTTATTTCATGAGCTGATTTTTCCTATTTTGAAAATCATGAAAACATCAATTAGGTTATTCAAAACTTAACTTCTCACTTTATTTTTTATTTTTAAAATTTATTTATTTATTTATTGTCAAATACCATGACCTGATTCTAACATATCCCTTTTTGGTAATGTTTATTGAGATGTTGATAATGTTTATTTATTGAGATGTTGGTAATTTTTTTTTTTCCAGTTAAATTCTCAACCTTAGAACTTTCTTTGTTTTTTTAATTCTGTTGTATGTGTATTTTTTTTTTTTTCTAATTCTCAATCTTAGAACTTTCTTTTGTTCTAATTTATTTATTTAATTCCGATCGTACGAACTTTACTCTCTCGACTTGGATGTACTTACATTTGTTATATATTATTGCTGCGTGGTTCACTTTATGGATTACCTACTGGATCTGCTTGAATGATTTTGATAGATTTTGGTGTTTAACTGACTATTTTTGATTGAGTCCTGTATGAATAGGATTGCTTTAACGGTGGTCTATGATAAAAAATTTAAAACAAATTTTTTTTTTATTGACTGTTTTTCGTCTGTTGCAATTCGGGTTTGAACTATGTATAAAACCAGGCAACTCAAAGGTAATACTCTCTCTATTTTGGTGTTTAACTGACTATCTTTGATTGAGTCCTGTATGAATAGGTTTTCTTTAACGGTGGTCTATGATAAAAAATTTAAAACAATTTTTTTTTTATTGACTATTTTTCGTTTGTTGCAATTCGGGTTTGAACTATGTATAATATTTTGTTTTGCCTCTGATTTGGAGATATTATCTGCTTAATTTTATGGTTTCTTTGTGTATGTGGACTATGTATGTATGTGTTTAGTTCATTTGTGAGGATGTGGAGGATTGCAAGGCAAAAACTTGGAGCCGGAGGATTTCCTGTTCCGGTAGGTCTTTCAATCGTATGTTTTGATTTTGAAAAAGGAAGATTTTTTTGCATCTAAGACATAGTATTTAATTTCATATTTTAGAACAATCCTTGTAGAGGATACAGTAGCCTGCAGTATCCGCGTTGAGATGTTATTCATCTGCTACCAAAGAGGTAGTTATGGATTATGTTCATTGTGTTGTTCAATTTTTTCGTTTTTCTTTGATGCTTATTTGGTTGTTTTGATATGTTAGAATTAATTTTATTTCATGAGCTGATTTTTCCTATTTTGAAAATCATGAAAACATCAATTAGGTTATTGACAACTTAACTTCTCACTTTATTTTTTATTTTTTAAATTTATTTATTTATTTAGTTATTTATTTATTGTCAAACACCATGACCTGATTCTAACATATCCCTTTTTGCTAATGTTTATTGAGATGTTGGTAATGTTTATTTATTGAGATGTTGGTAATTTTTATTTTTTTTTCCAGTTAAATTCTCAACCTTAGAACTTTCTTTGTTTTTTGAATTCTGTTGTATGTGTATTTTTTATTTTTATTTATTTTTTTTCTAATTCTCAATCTTAGAACTTTCTTTTGTTCTAATTTATTTATTTAATTCCGATCGTACGAACTTTACTCTCTCGAATTGGATGTACTTACATTTGTTGTATATTATTGTTGCGTGGTTTACTTTATGGATTACCTATTGGATCTGCTTGAATGATTTTGATCGATTTCGGTGTTTAGCTGACTATCCTTGATTGAGTTCTGTATGAATAGGATTGTTTTAACGGTGGTCTATGATAAAAAAATTTAAAACAATTTTTTTTTTTATTGACTATTTTCCGTCTGTTGCAATTCGGGTTTGAACTATGTATAATATTTTGTTTTGCCTCTGATTTGGAGATATTATCTGCTTAATTTTATGGTTTCTTTGTGTATGTGGACTATGTATGTATGTATTTAGTTCATTTGTGATGATGTGGAGGATTGCAAGGCAAAAACTTGGAGCTGGAGGATTTCCTGTTCCGGTAGGTCTTTCAATCGTATGTTTTGATTTTGAAAAAGGAAGATTTTTTTGCATCTAATAGATAGTATTTAATTTCAGATTTTAGAACAATCCTTGTAGAGGATACAGTAGCCTGCAGTATTCGCGTTGAGATGTTATTCATCTGCTACCAAAGAGGTAGTTATGGATTATGTTCATTGTGTTCAATTTTTTTGTTTTTCTTTGATGCTTATTTGGTTGTTTTGATATGTTAGAATTAATTTTATTTCATGAGTTGATTTTTCCCATTTTGAAAATCATGAAAACATCAATTAGGTTATTCAAAACTTAACTTCTCACTTTATTTTTTATTTTTTAAATGTATTTATTTATTGTCAAATACCATGACCTGATTCTAACATATCCCTTTTTGGTAATGTTTATTGAGATGTTGGTAATGTTTCTTTATTGAGATGTTGGTAATGTTTTTTCTTCTTTTTTTTTCCAGTTAAATTCTCAACCTTAAAACTTTTTTTGTTTTTTTAATTCTGTTGTATGTGTACATTTTAATTTTATTTATTTATTTATTTTTGTTCTAATTCTCAACCTTAGAACTTTCTTTTGTTCTAATTTATTTATTTAATTTCGATAGTACGAACTTTACTCTCTCGAATTGGATGTACTTACATTTGTTATATATTATTGCTGCGTGGTTTAGTTTATGGATTGCCTACTGGATCTGTTTGAATGATTTTGATCGATTTTGGTGTTTAACTGACTATCTTTGATTAAGTCCCGTATGAATAGGATTGCTTTAACGGTGGTCTATGATAAAAAATTTAAAACAAATTTTTTTTTTTGATTGACTAATTTTCGTCTTTTGCAATTCGGGTTTGAACTATGTATAATATTTTGTTTTGCCTCTGATTTGGAGATATTATCTGCTTAATTTTATGGTTTCTTTGTGTATGTGGACTATGTATGTATGTATTTAGTTCATTTGTGAGGATGTGGAGGATTGCAAGGCAAAAACTTGGAGCTAGAGGATTTCCTGTTCCAGTAGGTCTTTCAATCGTATGTTTTGATTTTGAAAAAGGAAGATTTTTTTGCATCTAGTAGATGGTATTTAATTTCAGATTTTAGAACAATCCTTGCAGAAGATACAGCAGCCTGCAGTATCCGCGTTGAGATGTTATTCATCTGCTACCAAAGAGGTAGTTGTGGATTATGTTCATTGTGTTGTTCAATTTTTTCTTTTTTCTTTGATGCTTATTTGGTTGTTTAGATATGTTAGAATTAATTTTATTTCATGAACTGATTTTTCCTATTTTGAAAATCAAGAAAACATCAATTAGGTTATTGAAAACTTAACTTCTCGCTTTATTTTTTATTTTTTAAATTTATTTATTTATTTAGTTATTCATTTATTGTCAAATACCATGACCTGATTCTAACATATCCCTTTTTGGTAATGTTTATTGAGATGTTGGTAATGTTTATTTACTGAGATGTTGGTAATGTTTTTTTTTTTGTTTTTTTCTAGTTAAATTCTCAACCTTGGAACTTTCTTTGTTTTTTTAATTCTGTTGTATGTGTATTTTTTATTTTTATTTATTTGTTTATTTTTGTTCTAGTTCTCAACCTTAGAACTTTCTTTTGTTCTAATTTATTTATTTAATTTCGATCGCACGAACTTTACTCTCTCGAATTGGATGTACGTACATTGTTTATATATTATTGCTGCGTGGTTTACTTTATGGATTACCTACTGGATCTGTTTGAATGATTTTGATCGATTTTGGCATTTAACTGACTATCTTTGATTGAGTCCCGTATGAATAGGATTACTTTAACGGTGGTCTATGATAAAAAATTTAAAACAAAATTTTTTTTTAATTGACTATTTTCCGTCTGTTGCAATTCGGGTTTGAACGATGTATAATATTTTGTTTTGCTTCTGATTTGGAGATATTATCTGCTTAATTTTATGGTTTCTTTGTGTATGTGGACTATGTATGTATGCATTTAGTTCATATGTGAGGATGTGGAGGATTGCAAGGCAAAAACTTGGAGCTGGAGGATTTCCTGTTCCGGTAGGTCTTTCAATCGTATGTTTTGATTTTGAAAAAGGAAGATTTTTTTGCATCTAATAGAGAGTATTTAATTTCAGATTTTAGAACAATCCTTGCAGAGGATACAGCAGCCTGCAGTATCTGCGTCGAGATGTTATTCATCTACTACCAAAGAGGTAGTTGTGGATTATGTTCATTGTGTTGTTCAATTTTTTCGTTTTTCTTTGATGCTTATTTGGTTGTTTAAATATGTTAGAATTAATTTTATTTCATGAGCTGATTTTTCCTATTTTGAAAATTAGGAAAACATCAATTAGGTTATTCAAAACTTAACTTCTCACTTTATTTTTTATTTTTTAAATTTATTTATTTATTTAGTTATTTATTTATTGTCAAATACCATGACCTGATTCTAACATATCCCTTTTTTGTAATGTTTATTGAGATGTTGGTAATGTTTATTTATTGAGATGTTGGTAATTTTTTTTTTTTCCAGTTAAATTTTCAACCTTTGAACTTTCTTTGTTTTTTTAATTCT